TGGAGGTGAGCAAGCCTTCGCCAATTCCTCGGATGAATATGTCTTTTCTCGATTTGGATGAAGCACATATTTTGTTAGCTAATTCTTCTGAAATGATATTTACGGACGAGAGTGTCAATTACAAGTTTTGTTTCTTTACCATTGGCTCGTGTGCGGACTGCGAGAAGCTGACCTTCCGACAATGTGCCGATGGGGCGGCCGGGCTGGCCCCCTAGGCCCGGCCGTTCTCATTTCCCGAAGGATTACGCTGCCCATTCTGATTCCCTAGGAGCTCCGCCGGAACGTTCCTGCCATCTCGGAACCGCTGCCAGCACTGTTGTGCTATGTGACCTATGCGGTGGCAAATCTGGCATCGGGGACGCCCGTCATTGGCACGGGAAGTTCTCTGAGGCCAAGGCATTGGGGGGCGACGCACCTCGTCTTCGATGCTTTTTAGCCGGTCAGACAGCAAGACGATCGAGTCCGCAATCGCTTTTAGGTCTCTCTCGTTGTCGGCCGCCTCCCGTGGGCAACGCAATTCGGCTGCGGCGCAGGTGGCGACACACGTAGAATGAGGGTGCACTCTCGCTGCGGCGGGTGCGAACTCTACGGGATGCGCGATGTTTTTTATCCACGACTGCGATCCGGTAGAATACTGGATACCAATCGGTTGAGGCCCCGACGCACGGCTCATCAAAGCTGCCTGATTTATACGTTGCGAAAATTGGAGGAATGCAGCGCAGCTCTCCGAGTCTGCGATTATCATCTTCTCTAGAATATCCGGACGCAAACCGCGAATAAGGTGCCGCAACCGATCATCTTCCGTCATGGACGGGTTCACTCTTGCACACAGCTGTATGACGTCGTAGTAGTACTGCTCGGGGGTTTTGGGTGTGGTTTTGTAGCCGCAAACGGGCGATCTTGACTTAGTGGCGACTCGTAAATGACGTTTTTAGTAGCGTCGCCCATTCTTCCCATGTATTAGGGGCACCGGTTAGAATTTGAGTAGTGTGCCACTTTTTCGCATGTCCGTCTAATGCCAGATATAGAAATTTTATCTTCGTGGCTTGGTCCCAATTGTTAAGCGACGCTACATGTTCGTAGCAAAGTAGCCACTTGGAAATAGATTCCTCCGGCGCGCCTCTAAAGACTGGTTGTCCGACGAAAGGTTTAGCTTGGGGGGAAGACATAGCAGAGAAGAAGGTAGGGGGTTTCGACATAGTAGAGCAGTCAGATATAGGTTCCTGAAATTTTTTGTTGACTTGGGGCATAATTTCAGAGCGTGACTATCGTTACCCAGCACCTCCACCACTTTGTAGCGAAACGTCGGGGTTGTTAAAAGTTAGGCGCATCGGAAGACCAGGGAGACGAATAAGTGCGGGTGAAACTCCGCGAAGGCAATCGATGAGAAGTCAACACGATGATTTCGGGGAGAACTCATTGGGGGTTTATTTAGCTAACGCAACTTCAATTTACAAAATGCACTAGGTCACAAAGACAAAACATAGAAAATGGTAGCATACCCTTCGGCTGGCATGACTGGTCTCCGGTGGTGAGATGCGCTGTTGACCCCGACTCCACTCTCCTTGAAAAGAGCCCGAGTCGCTGCTTAAATAGGGTTTTTTTAGCGTCCCCGCTCGCGCGGACCAATCAGGCAAGCCGAGGATATTCAAATCAACATGAGTTTTTGTGGTTGCCTGAAGCCTACCTCACGACAAAATCAGTTCCCTTTCTGTACACACCACTTTCCGGCAAGCAGAGGTGACGCGCAGATACAGTCTCAATTTTCGGCCTCTGGTCGTCCCGCGAAGTAGCCCCGCTGCGTGCCTGCAGTCGTTTGCGCACGGGGCGCGCAGGAAACAAATCCTGCCTCGCGACAAAACTGTGGCAGCTTCCGGAAACGGTTTCATTCTCTGAAACGGCCTTGACGAGCTAACAAGCGCTCAAATTTCGGCCCCTTTTTTGCCCCGTAGGACCGAAAATGTGGCTCGCTCGTTTGAATTGTGGGGGGCACAGTGGTTAGAAGAAGGAGAAAGGCACCTAATTTCTGCAGTTTGGTCCAAAGCACGGCGCGGTGCCTGCTTTGGCGCGAAGAGCACAGTGACCGACCTGACGCGGCCCTTTCTGTTCTGACTCATTCTTCCTCAAGGCGCGCTCCCCGAGACAAGTTAAACGGTGCCGCTAACAAGGGCATCTGGCAAAGAACAAACTCCAGCTGTAGCTGAAAAATAACAAAGTTTTTCGCGAGACATTGCCCTCGCGACACTACCGAGCGATAGATTTGAACAAGACGGTTTCCAGTTGCGGCTTCTGTTGCTCTTAAGCGCTACACGGGTATGCATGCCGTACGCCGTTTCTGTGTGTCTCCACCTTTTTCGGCGGTATCTCCTCTTCACTCATTTGACGGCTGACGATCACATAAGCTTACTTTTGTTACCATTAAATTATTCTTCAATATTTTTTGTAACCAGTCCCTCTGAAGCGGGGTACTCGGCGTTTTGTTGAAAAATCAGACAGATTTAGAGCGTGGTTCAGTGGTGCGAAATACCTTAAAAGTTTCACTTTAAAGCCCAGCTGGTCATTGTGAATATTCGCTGCTCTGTTGATTTTGTTGCCTGTCGACAGATGCTTACACGGTAACCCACACAAGACACTGGAGTTTGACACCGACGTGTTTAACAGATGCTCGAGCACATACACATGTACGCATGCATGCCACGACCGAAAGACTTCTTGAAACTCCCATAGGAAGTTTATAGCCACGTGACTTGAAACTCAGTGGTGAGTTTAACAAGGTCGTGTCGTTCATAAACTCTGTAATTAGGCTAGGCGCATTTCAAGACGACATGTGCCCTGTTTACTCCGCTACCAGGGAGTGAATAATTGGGCAGGAGAGTTTTGCGGCGCATACGCTGAAAAAACTCCCATTTCGGAAATTTTCGCTCACAGTGCTGCAGCATGTTTTTTAAGCAATACATACTTTTATAAAAATTGTACAACACACGTGCTTGTGCCATTTTTGCGCACATGAACGTCGGTAGGCTTGTTGCACGAGTAAAGTTGGACAAATGCTGGCGATTATCGATTCTCGTTGCTGTGCAGTTTTCATCGACGTTATTTTATAAAAAATAAAAAAAGCTAGCGCCTCGTATTGCGGAGTCTAAGCTATAAGCAGCGATGGACTCCCAATGAACAAGACTGCTTTTGGTCGTGGTTCCTGTTCCTCGCAGTGCACCGGTCGCCGCATGTTGGTCGATCTGCTTCGTACCGGCACTCGCCTTCGCGCTGGATCTTTGACAGCGGGGGCCGCATGGCCCAAAAGAGGCAATTAAAGCTGCTCTGAATTCCAGCAGCTTTTCTCTGACAGCTATTTTTTGCTTCCCTTGCGACCTCACTACGTCCTGATATATCCTCGTCGTGTCGGAGAATTACTCAAGTGTGCATTGGCATCTGCCGCTCATTGTGAGAATAAGCGTGGGACAGCCAGCTCACCGTATTCGTTGTCCAATGCTTCATGATTAGAACTTGTCTTTGTCATCCATACATGCTCGGTGGGGTTGGTAGTGCAACACATATGCAGAAAGCACTGATTGAGCATCCGTTTCACGACCTCGGTGCGCTGACGTTTCACGCGGATGCGCTAGACATACGTCGAGTAGCACACACACAATGACTGTTTTTTTCGAACTCCCATGGGGAGTTTCTAACCACCTGATTAAGTACCATCTGGAGAGTATAGCAAGTCGTCTAGTTTATATACTCCGCCACTTGTCAATGAGAGCATATAGACGACGAATCCTGAATCCACTCCACGCAGCAATTAATTGAGGCATAGAAGTTCTTGGGGCTGATGTGCTCATAAAACTGTCACCTTTGCTAATTTTTTGCCTACGGTGTTCTCTGTTTTGAAAGAGTCTGTTACACTTTCGGTAATACATATACTTAGAATCCTTTAAGGCATTGTTTGAGTGGCCCAGGTGTTTACAAACTAAACGTATACCTTCCTTACCATATATATGTATACGCAATTACACATACGTGCGTTGCTGTCAAGTGTAGCTATACCCGAAACATTTCATACGGCTTTCGCCATGGAGACGACTAATACGAGAAGAGTTCTTGGTATCGACAGCGTCTTTTCGTTTTGGAGAAACAGGAGACAGAAAGTTAGGTGGGCTGATGAGATTAGAAAGTTTGCGGGTATAAAGCGGCAACAGCAAGCACAGGATCGAGTGTACTGGCGGATCTTGGGCCAGGCCTTTGTCCAGCAGTGAACGTAGACAACCTGATGATGATGATGATGATGGTGGTGGTGGTGGTGGTGGTGGTGGTGGTGATTATGATGAGAGAATGAAGCGCACGTATAGACTGCCGCTTCAAGAACAACGAAGGGTCCATATTTTATCATACACTTAATATCTGGATGCACAAACACTGCTTCAGCATTCATACATTTAGTAATCGCACCTTTAAATAAGCAATCACGATAAGAGTGAACGATGCTGAACCACCCGTGCATAGGCCTAATTGAAAGGCAAAATAATATAATCTCTTTGGCTTACTGATCAAATGCTTTTTCCCGAATAGTTGCATACTATCCTCGAATCAAAGCTCATTGCGCCTTAAAGATAATTAGTGACCTAGTGAAGCTAGCGTTTGAATATTCACCAATGTTGCCTGTTTTCAGTAAGCCAGAATAACTGTTTATTACACCATCTGTGTAAGATGAACCTGTCATTGTCGCGTTTGAAGTTGGTGGTTTATTTAAGCAGGATTACTTCAAGTGGCACCCTACATCTTGAGAGCCAATTGCAACTAATGTATGCTAAGGTGAGAGGATAGGACAAGTTCTGGTGGTAGGCGCTTAGCGACCAGAACAACGCCAATCGTGGTCAGGACTACGCATGTTTCCTGAAAACGTGGACGCGTGACCAAATAATCTGTTCTTTCTAGAGGTGAAGTAACTCCAGAAATGCGTGCATTGTTATGCAGTGTTCTAGCCTGAAAAAAATTCGACTCACCAGCAGGCAGTGCAGAGAAGAAATACCGTTCAGTGAGTGATCTAATCTGGGAATGGTGTGCATGTGCTGGTCTTTTTATACGACTTCATCCGGTTAGTGACTGTACTGTTCATTCGCGTATGCTGTGGTACTAAAAAAACAACTGAACACTGCAAACTTCCTGCAGTCACAGACAAACGGTGGAAAAATAAAATAACAGCGGACGTCATGACAAGCGTGTTTTTAATTTCTGCAACAGCACTCATCGTGAAAGCCACAGACGTGGGGAACGTGGGGCCAGTTGTATTGAAATTGAGTTCCTACGGTTTGTACGAAGAGTGCGAGGTGCAGTGTTCGAACGTCACAACGCGGCACTGTCACCCGTTAAACCAGTTTGAACTAATAAGCAAGGCTGTAGCTTTCATAGTGACCTCAGCCGTAATGAATCTCATCTCCGTATTTAAACGTTTTGTGATGGCTGCAAGAACATATTTTGCATCTCGGGAAGACTTCACTCATATCTTGAGACAACTCATATTAGATATTGCATAGATACACATGGCGACATATTTTTTTTAGTTTGTAATCAGGCTCGGCCGCGTGAGCGCGTCGCCGAGCACACTGGTACAGTAGCGCCGACCATGGCATACGTTTGATTTACCGGCAGAGATTTTGGATTTTTTTTAATCTATATTGCCCCCATCTGTTTTCACACTCGCATTCGTTTGGACCTGGGATAATATCAGCTTCGAAAATTATAACGGCCACCGTTTCTGTAAGATGAAGAGAGCTGTTCTCGCAGTGTTCAATCGGTGTACGTGGCCTATTCACCGGAGCGCATTCAATTAAGCAAGAAAAGGTCAGTCGTGACGTAATGACCCGCTTTTCCACGTCAGCGCACCGAACGCCAGCACATTCCCAGCGAAAAAAAAATAAGTGTACAACATATAGAGTCACAAGACTTTTAAACAAAGCTGACTTTTCTCCACATGCGCATGAATGCAATGAGGTGTTTGAAGAACGATGCATGAATGCGAACCGACCTTTCTCGGGCGTCAGACGAGCGGCCGCGTCAAACCTAATTCAAGTGCTGTCGTGATTACAGCCTATGCACAGCCTCAGATATGCGCGTCTAACAGCGGATCCTGGCAGCATTCGGTGTGGCGAAACACATTCCATCTTTGTCATTTGTGTCGAGAGTTGGGAAAGCTGCATGGCGTCAGAATGACATGCAATAGTTAGAGCGCGTGAACAGCATGACGAAAAAAGTCAAGAAGGACACGAAGGTCTCTTTGTCGTGATTTTGTTCTCGTACTATAACTATCGTCATGTCATACCAACTAGCCAGACTTGCCACACTTCTAAGTCAGAATGACGTTGCGGAAGAAAGACCGTAAGCAGGCAGCGCAGCCTAGCCATTCAAGGGAGGCCGACTCCACATGTCTAGTGGCATCGTCGGCTTAGGTGCACTGGTACCATGACGATGCAAAGAAAGTTACTTCCAACACCGCCTAATTTTCACGCGTCGCTACAGGCCAGCCGTACGTGCAAACCACGAAACTCGAATCCGCTACAGCAGCGCTGTATGCGAGAGACATAATTTAGCAGACGACAATTTCCAGCATCCTGTTTGTACAGGTAATAAGCGAGCCAACAGAAGAAAATCTAACAATGAGAAACACTTGCAAGACACTACCTGTTCAGTGGGTGCGCATCTGTTCTCTAGGTGGTTGTGCTGCATCGATTCTGTACACACATGACGAGGGTTACAGCAATTTTCGCATCGCCTTCGGTGTCCGGTGGAATCCTGGCAGAAACTAGCTGTGGGCGAGTACGGTCAGACTATGTAAGCTCACACGCGTTTTCGTGGCGTCCAGCCATGCTCTGTGGCAGCGCCAGCTTTAAATTACGCCTGCAATGATGGAACGTCACTGCGTCGTCTGCCAGCGCACACGGGCTGATGGGATTGCACCACGCTCCACCGTCGACCTCCACGGTGCCGCTGTGGCGTGCACTCGTGTCCTGGTTCACCCAGCAGAGCATGTGGCACCGCACGCATGGTGCCCGATGAACGTAGGTCACAGACGATTGCACGAAAAACGCCACCGTTGCCGGCTGCCGAAGATGTAAAAACTGAACAGCGCAAGAATAACTGCCCGAATTTTGTGCTCGACAAGTCGAGTTTCACAAAACGCATATTATCTAGCTTTAATTTTTCTGTATGCTTCATTTTTTTTCGAATGAGAATTCTAGACTAACACGCCACTTACCGTATTACGCAAAAGTGGCTGTGCGAGTGGGCACTGTGAAACACTGAAATATTTTTCCCGATTGAAAACATCCCGAGTGCCTAACAGTGAGTGCCTGCGGATAGTTGACGTACTCGTCTAGGTAGGTTATGACAGAGCGGGGGAGGGGGGGTTCTGATCTTGAATTGCATAATACAAGCTTAAGGTAAAGAATACCGCATCAGCGACGCTCCACGTCCCGAGATGGGCTTGGCATTTTCCAGCAAAGCTGTTTCCTGTGCCTCTTATACAAAGCGTAATTGAAGTTAAATTGACACACGGTTTCCTTTACAGAAAGATTGCTAGGCGGCGTCGAGGAGCGCGGACGTGAAAACGTCGGCTCCCGCTTTTTTAATTGTTTTCGGTCGTTTACTTGCTCCAAGAACACTCGGATTTGTGCTTATTCGAACATGCAAGCTCTGTGGTTTTAATGGAGACGTCATTTTGGGCAGTGAGTGAACTCTTAGACATTTTTTTGGACTTAAAAGTTGCGACGCGGCGAGCATCCCCGCTGACCCTAACCACGCCTAGGGTTGGCGAGGAAGACGGCTGTTGAACGTAGCCATGGGCTCGGCCAGACACGGCAGCTGCTGGATTATCCTCCGTACGTCCAGCCGACAGCCAGGCACTGAAAATATCTTCCACCATAACTGTGCAGAGAATGGAAGTAAGCGCGGAGATCTTCAACGGACTAGGATGGGCCACCACCATGGGACGCCGAAAACAGACGACTCCGCCAAACGAGGAGCAGGCCGTTGTGACTGGCGAACAAAACAACCAACTGAAGCAACCGAGGGGCTTCAAGAGGACTTAATCGGCACTGCACTGTATGGTATCTGCTTCCAGACTACCCCGCCGACCCAAGGACCAGATCAGGGTAATCTTGAGAGCAAGAGGTGGATGGGACGTAGCCAGAGTTGACCTCGTTCTGCTGGCGGAAATAGTCATCAGGGCCACCCAGATCACCGACAAACAAGCATGGGAGGACACGATCTGCTCCAACAATATGCAAAACATCATTGATATTTCTACGCCACACCAAAATAAGGCTACATCATACTTTAATGTGCAGAAACTGCGCACAAACAAAGGCTCGTTCGAAGTTGCCGCATACGTGGCCGCACCCGATAATACATGCAAGGGCGTCATCAAGAACGTTGACCTCTCCCTTGATGACGCAACACTCACACGCCTGATTGTGCATGACCAAAATCTCACTGCCGTCGAGGCAAGACGCATTAAAAAGACTAAACTCGTCGCAATTCTCTTTGACAGGTTGCGCGTTCCGAACACACTGATGTGCGGAACCGCCATGGTTCCCTGCTCGCTCTTCAAGCGACAAGTCGATGTTTGCAGAACGTGCGGAGGAGTTGGCCATCGCGCCGATGTTTGCCAGCACACAAACGCAACGAGCAAGAAATGCAACGACTGCTGTGAAACGCTACAATAAGACGCCGTGCATCACTGTGAGTCGAAATACAAGCTTTGCAATGGCAATCACCTCACCGGAGATCGCGAATGCAAAAGACGCTTCCACACTCCATACATAGTGAGAAGGAGAAGAAGATGCAGAAAGCAGGAGCGGCAAGCACAACGACATCAAGACGCACCAACATCTGTCACGTTCAAGGAACCCTGCCACAACCAGGTGCCGAGACGGGAGAACGGCTCGAGCGTCCATCACCGTTTTCCATCCAGGGGGAGATCCCGATCCAGAGGGCGTTCCCGATCCAGAAGTCGTTTTCAATCCAGAGGGCGTTCTCGTTCCGAAGGGTGCCCCTCGACCCTGTTGGGACCCGACAACCGCCTGTCATCTCGGGAGTGCTCCAGATGCCAATCGAGAACGAGACCAGCAGCCACGCAGCAGTAGCAGCAGCCGAACAATGGCTCCTGGGCCAGCAGGGTTGAAGGTGCATCACGAAGCACAAGTAGCCAGCCCAAAGGTAAGGGACAGCCAGAGCATGCTCCCGATTTTCGCATTCTAGCACTTGAACAAAAAAACAGGGCCCTCAAGATGGAGCTTGAAGAGCTCCGGGCCCCAATAGCTAGAATAGAGAGAGGCCACAGAATTAACCTGTCAAGCTCACCGGCACCACCGACAACACGCTTACAACAAACAATACACAACACACACAAACGCAAAGCCGTAGACAGCGACAGCAACACGACGGAGGAGATCGAGATGGTTTCGAGTGATAAAGAAGCCCCATTGACGAATGCCAAGTCCACGATAACTAAACTCAATGACAAAATTGATACATTGGCGAACACGCTTGCCAAGTTTGTGGAAACCTTTGAGACTTACACTGACAAAGCTGGCCAGAGGTTCCTTAGCCTGGAGAAGATGATAGCCAACCCACCTGTGGTGGGTGCTCCTCAAAACCTAAGCGCGGACAAACCAGCCGTTACGGTAAACTTGCCGAGCATAACGTCTAGAGCTAAAGTCCGACAAGTCAAAGTACGCAATCTCGCGGAGGTAACGAGCCGTGACACACACAACCCACCAAACTAAAATGGCCGCTGACCGTAACGAGATTAAGATCTGGCTGTGGAACTGTAACCCACTTCATAAACGCAAAGCACCACTAACACAACTACTGCTAGCCTGTAAAAAAGCCGCATATAATATTGCTACAGGAATGTGGAGAAAGTGAAGTTGCTGAAAGCATTGACATACAGTGGTACAGGGTAGCCAGGCCGACCTTGCATCCCGAGCAAAACAACACACGAGGAGTGGCTACCTTCATCCGGAAGGACATAATGTTCACCAAAAGGGACGCCCCCGTATACAAAAAATTCCTGGAAACGGTCCTGGTG